ATGAAGTATTACTTTACACTTAATAATAGTAGACGTAATAGTCTTAAGAATCGAAGAACCGAGTTCATGTTCCGACCTTGTTAGTTGCGTTCCCTTAGAAACAGTATAAATCCATCTTTTCTCTCTCTAGCTGTGGATTAAATAACAAGAGAGCCTGTTCTCTCAAGCCTTGGATGCTAACCAGTCTAGGAGGAGGAATCAACTGAATTCCAAATCGTGTAGAAGGCGACAAAAAAAACCACTCCACTATATTTCCCAACAATCTTGGCAATTTACGGATAATATAAAAAGGACTCTGTGGAGAACCGTGATCGCGTATGTCTTGAAAAGACATGGCATTTAGGAGGAACTATCCGATTGAATTTGTCAGATTTTTTTTTTTAAACAAAGAACTGTCTTTATTCTTTTTTTCCCTCGTTTTTCTTTTCTTCTTTTTTTTTTTCTTCCCAATACTTTTTTCTTTCTTTTTTTTTGTTCCCAATGCTTTTTCTTTTCTTTTTCTTTTTTTTTGTTCCCAATGCTTTTTTTTTTTTTTTTTTTTTTTTTTTTTTTGTCATCACATCGCTCAGGTCGCATTCGTTTCCACAAGCGTGAAGTAGTTCGTTAAAAAAGAAAATCAACAAAAAATTAATAAGGGAAACAAATTAATTAGTCTTTGAATAAAGTAATATATATTTTGAATGGGAGCACTTATATGCTTGCCCGAGCCAGACATCTGACCTCTTTGTTGCGTAACAATTACCAGCTGGTGTTAGTGATGTCGGCTGTGGAGACGACGGCAAGGGACATGTGATAATATGACGGCTGTTGTTCGTTCCACAAGGGGAACAAAAAAACGTCATGTTACTGGTAAGAGATGACGTGGGTACTGCACTTGATAATAGGCGAATGAAAGCGGACGGTAGCGGGGGAGGGGTGGAGATAGGATGGCAGTTTGAGTTCTGTAAACGTTCAGTCATGCGACTGATTCAGCCAGAGCATTGTAAGCGTAGCGAAAATTTAATCTAGAGTGGTATTAATCGGCCATTCTATTCATGTCTCTGCCACAGTGACGAAACAATTTCTTTGATTGAATTTGTCGCGTGTACGCTTAGCCACAGACACACACGCACACACACATACGCATACACAGACATACAAACGCAGGCACAAACACACACACACACTCGCACCTACGCATGCGCACACCACGACTGCAAACAGAAATTCTCCGTCATTATCTTGTTCGTACTTGCGACCTTGCACAAAAATTAAGTTAACGCTTAAGACATAATGAAAAGGCACGACATCATAATGGATAGCAAACTGAATTCAATCCTCACTAGGTGCTCCATACTTGAGACCTTGTGCCATACTCATGCACGCTTGAAAATAACAATGTATCCCTGCGATTATATAAAACAGTTCATATCTATTATCTTATCTATCTATCTATCTCAGTCTGTTCATATATCTAAACTGTCTCTGTTCCTGTCCGTTAGTTTATATATATATATATATATATATATATATATATATATATATATATATATATATATTGTGTGTGTGTATATAGGCAGCATTTTTTCATTGATGCATGTTTCATTAAATAATATAGACAAGTTTTGTCTATTTATTTTATGCAAATTCCTTTCATATCGTCTGATAAGTTTAATAACATTATCATTGAAAGACGAAAGAAAATCGCCATATTGATAGATCTATGCACGAGTTTGTCGTTGCTTGGAAATCTTCCATGCAAACAAAACAGAATATCATTGTAGCTATGTCCGTGTATTGTTTAAGTTATTGTAAAGTACTTGCCATGTCTGATGATAGGTTATGTTAGCCGAAAGCTTAGCTAGGATTAAAAAACATGTATCAATATGGTGATTTTCTTTCATCTTTCAATGATAATGTTATTAAGCTTATCAAACGATATGAAAGGAATTTGCATAAAATAAATAGACAAAAGTTGTCTATATTATTTAATGAAACATGCAGCAATACATATATATATATATATATATATATATATGTTCATATTTATCTATCAAAATCTATTTATATATATCTCAGTGTTTGTACATCTATCTATCCATATAGTTTAAAAACCAGGAGGTCAATTAAAATACGCGAAAACGGTTTCGACCTGGCGGTCTCTTCGGGCGATACTTTCAAAATGATCACTTTAACGCTTTATTTTTAAAAAAAAACACAAGGAACGCTAAATAATTATCTTTCAAAAAATAACAGACGTATGATGATTGAAAGACCAGGACATTGGGTGTAATGGGAAGGGAAGTAGAAAAAGAGGTGAAGGAAAGAATGGAAAGGGACAGGAATACAAGTGTATCGTAAATGTATACAGTATATATATATATATATATATATATATTATCAGTCTGTTCATCTATATCTCTCTATGAAAACCTATTCACATCTATCTTAGTCTGTACATACATCTATCTATCTATCTATATATATATATATTATATATATATATATAGTCAAACCTAGAGAGCCAGACAAACCTACCAAGGTTTCACCTAACCGGATCATCAAGGAGCCAGCTTTCCCTGACGATCCGCTTAGGTGAAACCTTGGTAGGTTTGTCTGGTTCTCTAGGTTTGATTAGGTCTGCTCTACTTTTGTATTGAGCACTTTTTTAGTTAGTTGATTACTCGTATCGGGTTTTTTTTTTGTTTTGAGCTTTGGACCTGTATGCAGTACGATTATTTTCGACAGACGTTCATGTTCCTAGCTCTTTTTAAAACCATTGTTTCCTTCGAAATTGATTTGATCATTAGCAAATCAAGAAACTGAGATTTTTCGAGACGAGTGTAGTTATCTACATATATATATATATATATATATATATATATATATATATATATATATATAAGGTCCGATGGATAAATTCCTTGTTTAAGTTGGTGAATGCTGCCATATTCCTTGTCTTCCGTTCATCCTTTTGTTTTACAAGGAGTTTTGTTGGTCTCTTTCTGAACTACGCCCCACACTTAATAATCAAGTGGGTTGTAGTCTGGGGAGTTAGGTGGCAAGACGTAAGAACTGATGTGGTCGCAGAAATTGTCTGACAGCTATAACTGGGATCTTCTGCGTCATGGTGCAGTGTCCTGATATAGGTTCTTCCAGCAGCCACCCTCTTCACCAGGTCAGCACCACCTCCATTTGATGTAGGCCTCCGTGTGAGGTCTGATACCCTGTGGGAAGATGAATGGAGGCATGGCGTTCTGAGCGTCTGTTCGGTTAAACTCTCTTCCTACGGGCGGGAGGAACCCGAAGGAGGCTACGCCGAAGGGCGGAGTCTCCTTCGGGGAGGTAAAACCGGCCCTGAACCCGTTTATACGGGCTTTTTTGGCCGAGCCTAATGGCTCGGAAATGCCAACGTTAAAAAGGCCTTGTGCCACATGACACCCTCGTGGGGGGGGGGAGGGGGTGACTGAATATCGTCACTAGTGATCACTCCAAACACTATGATGTTGACTGGATATATCATTCAACACTTTCCGAATCTTCTGTAGTGTTCTTAGATTGACACCCACACTCTCTGAAATGTCTGTATTGGAGCTTCTTGTGCGAATGCCAAGCAGTACAGCATGCTGTTTCCAAATTTCTGGTGAAGTGAATTCCTCAAAGACGATGTACAACTGACCCTGTTATACTGTGCAGTCGACAGAGTCTAAAACAAACAACGCGCATATATATAATATCAGTCTGTTCATCTATATCTCTCTATCAAAACCTATTCACATCTATCTCAGTCTGTACATCCATCTATCTATCGCAGTCTGTTCGTATAATGTAATCTATTTCAATCTGATTGTATCTATCTAAGTCTGTTCGTATCTATCAATCTCTCTTTCTTTCTATCTATCTTTCTATCTATCTATCTCTGTTTATATCTATCTCTTCATATTAACCATTTGTCCATGCTTAGAATATTTCTGCTACATATGGTCCGGTGTCCCTGCTATTTACCTTGAGCTCCTTGATCCAAAGAAGAATCAGCAATGTTATTGGTCCTGATCTGGCGACTCAGCTCCGGTCACTTTCCCACCGCCATTATGTTGCCTCAATATGTCATTTCTATAAATACTTTCATGGCAATTGTTCGAATGACCTCTTGGCTATGGTACCTAGACTTTTAGATTTTAAGCGCTGTACTAGACTGGCGTCGAGATCTCGTCAATTTACAGTTGAGCTGGCTAGATATAGCCGTAAGTTCTATGCTAAGCGTTTCTTCTCTCGCACTTACCTCTTCAACAGCTCTTTCTTGGCTCCATGCTTTCCAGCCAAGTTAAATGTGTAAAATTTTAATTGCAATGTCAATCGCTATCTACTGTCCTCGTAATTACTCTCTTCTCTTTCTACTCATCATTAATGTTTCTATACCTAATATTTCGATAGCGTGTAACCGCTTGTGTTTTAGAGGTATTACTGCATTACTTGGAGTGATTCCGATTAAAAGAAATTCTGTCTATCTATCTATCTATCTATCTATCTATCTATCTATCTATCTATCTAAATCTCTTCATTATCTATCTATTTGTTCATATCTATCTATCTATTTGTTCATATCTATCCATCTATCTATTTATTTGTTCATATCTATCTATCTATCTATTCATATCTATCTATCTATCTATCTATCTAAATCTCTTCATTATCTATCTGTCTGTCTATTTGTTCATATCTATCCATCTATCTATTGATTTGTTCATATCTATCTATCTATCTATCTATCTATCTATCTATCTATCTAAATCTCTTCATTATCTATCTATTTGTTCATATCTATCCATCTACCTATATATTTGTTCATATCTATCTATCTATCTATCTATCTATCTAAATCTCTTCATTATCTATGTATTTGTTCATATCTATCCATCTACCTATTTGTTCATATCTATCCATCTATCTATTTACTCATTTATATCTGTTCATATCTATCTATTTATCTATCTAAATCTCTTCATTATGTATCTATCTATCTATTTGTTCATATTTATCCATCTATCTATTTGTTCATATCTATTTATCTATCTATCTATCTATCTAAATCTCTTCATTATCTATCTATCTATCTATCTATCTATTTGTTCATATCTATTCATCTATCTATTTGTTCATATCTATCTATCTATCTATCTATCTATTTCTTCATATCTATTCATCTATCTATTTGTTCATATCTATCTATCTATCTATCTATCTATCTTGGTATACCCGATGTCTGCAAAACAACTCTTCCCAATTTATTCAAAGACTTTATAAGATTGCTAAATTCTTCTTGAATGTGATATCAACATCTTAAAGCAGATTCATCAGCATTTCGTCAGGTTTCCCAAAGTGAAAGTTGGTTGTGTCAGGTTTCAATCACGGAAGGAAGTTATTCGTTTCCTTTATCCACACTGTTTACTTACTACCAGAGATTGACTATTTGAGTATGAACCGATGAAATGCAATATGAGTTAAGATTAATAATGACTGACAATGTTTCATTTAATAAAAATATAATATTCAAGATAATATTCCTACTAACAATCCTAATATAATAATAATCATGTGAAATTAAAATGAAAGAAATATAAATAAAAAATAACAATGGTTGACAATGTTTCATTTAATAATAAAAGTCAAGATAATATTACGACTAACACACGTAATGAAAAGCAATTGAAATTAATATGAAAGAAATACAAATCAAAAATTAATAATGGCTGACAATGCTTCATCTAACAATAATAATAATAATAATAATAATAAGAAGAAGAAGAAGAAGAAGAAGAAGAAGAATAAAATTCAAGATAATATTACTACTAACACGCCTAATTTAGTGAAAAGCAATTGAAATTAAGATGAAAGAAATACGAATCAAAAATTAATAATGGCTGACAATGATTCATCTGAAAACTTAAATCAATACTATATGTACTTATATTTGAATCATAAAGTGCCGACAAATCACATGAAAATATTTGACCTTTGTATAAAATTTCGTACGTTTTGAATAAAGGTGTTTATGCTTCAAATAAAAGCTCTTATAAGACTAAATAATCCTGTACCAAACAAGATTCTTTCTAATTCCACCCTTTCCTTCTTGGTGTCTCTATTTATTTATTTCTTGTCTCTTCCGAGAAAGGAAAAAAATAAGCTTTAACGTCATCATTGAGTGTCCTTTTGAAATAACTCATTGCCTACGTCACTCCACTGACTCCATCTGTCTCGAAACCTCCTGCATTAATCTGATGTCACTGAGATGTGAGTCATACCAGACACCGTCTAATTGTTTGGGTCGAGTGTTTTCTGTAAACAATGCTTGTTATTGGACAATAAAAAGATCGTCTGCAAAAATGAGGGGGGGGGGAATATGTCGCTAAATCTTCTTATCAGTCTTAACATTCAACTTACAGACAGTAACTATGCTTAGCTTAAATCAACAGAGGGTCAACTAGGATTAGATATCTACACAGCGTTATGGAAACAAAATGGAAACTTTTACTTAACATCAGGAAGAGACAGTTGAGGTTTCTAGGGCACATAACGAGGAAAGAGTGCTTGGAAAATCTGGTACTCACAGGACAGACTGAAGGCAAGAAAGACAGAAAAACAGCGCATAACATTGAGCTTGAGTAAATGGATGGTGGACAAGATTTAAGAGAAATAACAGAAAGACTAAATTTATTAAGAGCTACAAGGGACAGAAAGTTGTGGAGAGCCATGATTGCCCAACATACTGAGGGAAGCTCATAAAAAAAGATCTACGCAGCGTAGTCTGACAAAGGGCTGTATCCTTTAAGAATTAAACTCTCAACAAGAATGTATATCCTAACCTGATTACCTTGCTAATTAATACTATATAGCAAATAATAGAATACTCGTTATAATAAACAGTGTATCGGTCCAGTGTTGTGGTAAACAAGACTAAACAATGTGCCCCCAAAAAATACGGTGTGTTATTCCCTTGAATTTGTTATGATCCAGAATATTTCATCATTCTGGATCATAACAAATTCAAGGAAATAACGACCCTTCCAAGGATAGTATAGTAGGGTCAGTAGACTAAAGTAGCAGTAGTAAAAAGAACAACACAGACGTATCTTCATCGCTCCGTAAAAATCCACAATTAACGGTCTCCAACGTTACCCTTAAAAACGAAATTCTCGGAACAAACAAAAACAAGTAAGCACAAACTTTTAAAAAAGCAAAAGAGACATTAACACTGAAAACATTTTTAACACACGCCATAAATGAAATTCTTCAATAAGATGATTTCTTTTCAAATTTGTTTCTTTACAAAACGGTAAATAATAAATGCTTATAAATAGAAATAATACAAATAGTACAGAGGACGGCAAGTGCGACGCTGAAATCCGAAGACGTATTGGGATGAACAAAGACGCATTCCAAAAGCTAAGCAGAGTATTACGAGACAGGAGGGTTTCGTTGGTAACAAATAAAAGAGCACTAAACTACTACGTGATATCTGTCATCCTTCCCACCAATGATGAATGATGATATTTCATCATCCTGAAAATAAAGATCAAATATTTCATCATTCTAAAATCTGAAACTTCAAGATTATAAAAACAACCCTTCCAAGGATAGTATAGTAGGGTCAGTAGACTAGAGTAGTAGTAGTAGTAGTAGTAGTAAAAAGAACAACACAGACGTATCTTCTTCGCTCCGTAAAAATCCACAGTTAACGGTCTCAAACGCTACCCTTAAAAACGAAATCCTCGGAACAAGCAAAAACAAGTACGCACAAACTTTTAAAGAAACAAAAGAGACAATAACACTGAGAACATTTTTAACACACACCATACCAATATTGTAACTGACATCACGAAAAGAAAAATACACATTCTTGTCATTAATTTTAAGACGTGTCTCAAGGTCTCATTGTTGTTATTGTTGTACGTTTTATTCCTTTCATTTTCAGTGTGAAAAAAAAGAAAATGATCCCTCCGTCAACTACAAATACATATAACAACGAAGTAACTTACATTAAACAACTATTACACATTCAATCCCGTTACAAATTACTATATACCCTTTTGACTCTCTCGGCAATGTTTATCGTCTCAAAAAGCAATGATTAGAATTTTAATAATACCCAAACATGCAAAAAGGAATTTATACATGTTCTTTATTCTTGAGAAATGACAACAAAGATGTTAAACACTATTTATTTATTAAACTGCTTATTTACGGGAGTAATTTTATATTTACAATATTTTATCGCTTAAAAGCTATTTCTAGTGTATACCCATATATGAGTAGATGCCGCGTTTATTTAATAAGCAGTTTATTTTCGTCTACTGGCCAGAATATTGGAGAAATCTTATTAAAGAAAAAGTGCGCCATCCAAGAGGATTCGAACCTGCGTCCCCCTAGCAGGAGAAATCTTTAATAAGGCTTCTCTAATATTCAGGCCGGTAGACGAAAATAAATATGCTGTTTAATAAATAAACGGGGCGTCTACTGAAATATGAGTATCCACTAGAAATAACGTTTAACTGATAAAATCTGTCGGATTAATAAATAAAAAAAATCCATTACTTCTTTATTTACAAGATTATAAAAACATCTGAACGAACTATAATGAAATATGTATCATTTACTATTTTATAAAGAAATAAATATGAAAACAATTTTTTTTCATGAATTTATAAAACTGCTTGTGAACGATAACATTTAAATAAATACATAACGACGAGTAATTGAAAAAAATTGAAAAATGCATTTTCAGGCATTTTTTTCATTTACTCTCGCCACATCAGTTAACAAAAATAAATTTTGATAATTTTGTATTTTTTTTAGAATGAAATTCTTCAATAAGATGATTTCTTTTCAAATTTGTTTCTTTATAAAACGGTAAATAATAAATGTTTATAAACAGAAATAATAATAATAATAATAATAATAATAATAATAATAATAATAATACAGAGGACGCCAAGTGCGGCTCTGAGATCCGAAGACGTATTGGAATGGCCAATGACTCCAGGCAGAGTATTACGAGACAGGGGGATTTCTTTGGTAACAAAGAAAAGAATGCTAAACTGCTACTTGATATCTGTCCTCCTTTACGGCAGCGAATGTTGAACTCGAAGCGGCGGAGACATAGTCCTACAGAAGGATGCTGTAGGACATACCTACGGACGATAATGGGTATGTCCCAATTCACATAAATACAGTAGTAAATACTGTATGTTGGTCTGCAGTTAGAGATTTATTGTGGAATTCACTTGACTCATTTATAGCAGTTGATTACTTCTACGCGCCGCTGGCGAATCTTATATGCGTTGTTCTTATCCTAAGTATTATAGTTCATTACCAACCTTCGTGTGATTATTCTATTCAGTAACCTTCCCTAGGTTACAACAAATGCTAAGGATATCATGGACCGAGCGTGTGAGCAACGATGACATTTTGGAGAGGATGCAAACAAGGAGGAGGCTTATACTTAACATGAGGAAGAGACAGTTGAAATTTCTGGGGCATGTAATGAGAAATGAGGGCTTGGAGAATCTGATACTCACAGGTCGAACAGAAGTAAAGAGAGACAAAGGAAAGCAACACATGACATACCTAGCGGGATTAAGCAAGTGGATGACAGAACAAGGTCTGAGGGAAGTAGCAAAGGGACTAAACTTATTGAGAGCTGCAAGGGATAGAAGGAAGTGGAGAGCCATGATCGCCTACGTCCTGAAGGGACACGGCACATAAAAAGAGAAAAATCAATATCGCATTGTATTTGTTGCATCTAGATTTATAAACTTGTGGTGGGAGTCAAAAATTCGTTCAGAAATGCGAAGACCTTTCAACTTCTGAAGAAGACCTGTATGTGTTTCAGACTATTATATTTTAATCGAAGTGTATTTGGCTCAGACATTCTGAGGCTGACCTTAGGGTCAGCTGGTAGACAAAATAGGGATCTCGATTTTGATTGGCTTAGCCCAACCTGATGATGCTAGATTTAGAAAGTGTTTTCGAGGAGTTAAGTTTTACACGTCGAAGAAACCAGACGTGGTTATTTCGTGTCCCGAGGAACCTGCTCCCCAGTGGTGGAGGGGAGGGGCAAAGCGAAGCCACGGGCTAGTTAGAAATGTACACTTCGACGTGTTAAATAAACTAGATAAGTTTTAAAATCCCTTTTGTTGATCTTTTCGTTTTATCTCCGAACTAAAAAAAACAAACAAACTAGCGATCACCCG